TGTACACCTGAAACTAACACGATACTGTAAATCAAATATACTTTAATTTTTAGAAATTCCCTCTATTAATACTCAGGAACTAAAATATTCCAGCTGACACCCATCTCAGAAGTGCCTGTATTCTTCCAATGAAAGAGAAGCACCTTCCCTCCTTCCCTAACACACCTGGAAAATGTGTGATTATCTACCAAACCCACAGTCGACCTGCAAAGTGGACCCCTAAAAATGGCTCGATGCCCAGTGGGATCCCCACGATATCCTGATGGGAACAGTCGGTGAGGCTAAGCCAGAATTACGTGATTACGGGCACGATTCAGCCAAACTCGGCAGTTTCTACTAAAGAGGAGAACAATTGACGCTACTCTCCATGTTAGCCTCTGCATCTTCTGTTTCTGCTCTGTGCTCAGAACCAAAGCTTGGAGGTGGGCGAGAGTCAATTTGGACAAACCAAACTCCCCGGTGATGTATAAAGAGCTAAAAGTTCATGTGTGGATGCAACATGAAGGGAACAGGCACACCTGGAGAGTCAGGTAATGTCCTAGACCATTGTTTCTCCATCTCAACACTACTGGCATGTGGGGCTGGATGAGTCTCTGATGCGGGGCGTGCTGGGCACTGTGGGGTGCAGAGCAGCTTCCCTGGTCTCCACCCACCACGTGCCAGCAGCCCCCTTCCATCCCCAATAGTGACAGCCATAAGTGTCCCCATTTACTATTATCTTTTTGGGTAATATGAATGATGCAAGATTCTGACTTTCGCATTCAAAGGGTTATTGATTCAGGATAGAAGCTCTGTGATTCTCTTCTTTTTTTCTAATTTAAATACATTAATAATGAAAAGTGAGGGGGCAGTTTCCTCGTTGCTTTATTTTACTAATTCCCCACCGGAAGGAATTTAACAAATTGGATGATGTCTTTACCATACGGTTCCCCAATCATACAAGAGATTTCTAAAGAGATTCACATAAATTCCAAAGGTCCTCCAAACCACCTGATATGTGATGGACCCTTGAATCATTAGTATTATAAAGTATTAAAGACAATACTCAACAAAATGGAAAATTTTAAATACATCTGTTACTAAAAACATTCTTTTTTTCCCTAACAATTAAGATAAATCCAGTTTTTGCATCGGCTGAGACAGACCCAATCCCTCTACATTTGTTCTTCACTAAGAAAAATTCTACTAATAAAAACTTAAATGAGAGCCATTACGAGGTAAATGTAACCTAAGAAAACCCTTGTCTCTGGCAAATTGTTAGGCTCTGTGTCAACCAAAGATTTTTAATATTTAGAGTTAATTTATTCATTGCAATGATATGAGCTGCATATCTCCCTTCGAGAATTACAATAGATACCCTCTTAAAAAAATAATAAAAGACTAATTCTGAAGTTCACAAAAGTAACAGGTTCCCTTGCTTGCTGGGAACAAGGGGGGGCAAGCTTGTTCCTTATATGAGGTGAGGGTAGGGGTGTGTCCAGGGGTCGGGCTGGAGGGGAGGCTTAGGTGGTCTGCCCACCCCTTAGGTGGTGCTGTGTGCAGGGGGCATGCGTAGTACCCTGCTTTTGCTCCCGACACCTGTGTTTGCTCCCCGCTCTTCAATAGTGGCAGTTGTGTTTTTTTGGTCTCTTTGTATCTTTTGGGTGCAGAATTTGTCCCAACTGCGCATGCACGCAGTTATTTTTAGTCCCATAGAGTTTCTTTGTATTTCGTTGCTTAAGGAGAGGCGTGTCCAGGGGCAAGCACTGCAGCACTGCCTCAAAGGGTCCCAGGTCCCAACAAAGGGTCCCAGGACCCAGCGTGTCCTTATTAAAGGAAGGGGTCAAATTCAACATCTTTTCTCTCAGGGGAAGTGGCAGGATAATTAAGTGGACAAGTTCAGGTCAACCACTGCCGTGGATCAAACAAGTTACTAGAAATGGAATTTGGGGCAAGTTACAAACTCTATTTTTATCTGTTCTACAGCAGACATTTTTATCCCCAGGTTCTTTTTTCATTTCTTTTATTGTCCTAAAATACGCATAACACAAAACTTACCATTGTGAACTCTACCATTCAGAGGGTTTAGCACACTCACAATGTTATATAAGCACCACCTCTATCCAGTTCCAAAGCATGTTTATCATCCCAGAAGGAGACCCCTTACCCGGTAAGAGTCCCACTTCATCATCCCCCCTCTCCAGTCCCTGGTGACCACTCAACTTGTCCAGCCCCAAATCTCTATGGATTTACCTATTCCGGACAATTTATATAACTGAAATCGTACACTGTGTGTCCTTCTGTGTCTGGCTTCTCTCACTGAGCATCACGTTTTTGAGGTTCATCCACGTTGAAGCCTGTGTCAGTGCTTCAATCCTTTTGACGACTGTAATATACCACTGTGTGGATAGACCCCTAAATTAACTCCAAATGGATCAAAGACCTAAAAAGGGGGCTTCAAAATACAAAGCTCTTACAAGAAAATACAGGGTTAAATCTTCATGACTTCGGATTTGGCAATGATTTCTTAGCTATGACACCAAAAGTACAAGCAATCAAAGAAGGAAAAATAGATACATTTTACTGCATCAGAATTAAAAACCGGTGTGTGTCAAAGCATACGGCCAAGAGAGTGAAAAGGCAAACCACAGCACAGGAGATTTTATTGGCAACACCCTCATGATAGTATTTCTGAATTCGAGATGCATTTTACTGTGCAGCCAGGTGGCAGCCACAACCTACTTGTGCAGAAACTTTCTGCCCGCACCTTCTGGAAAGTTCAGGAAAGAGCTGGTGACCTAGCATCGGACGTGCATGAGTGACTCACAGTATGTTCTCATGACTGCAGGTTTTCCAAGTTGTCTTTTTTTGTCCCAGAAAGCTGCATCCAAAGTCCACCAACCAGGTATAAGTAATTTCAATCCCTGTTCTTCCCAGTTTTCACCAGCTTTGGGGTGCGATATAGTCACATTGACAAGGCGAGCTAGAGTCAGGTCTTCTCCTGCCTCCAAATACCCCCTTATTCCCCGGAGGGGTCTTTTGGGGAGTAACTGATTTGCTTGTAGATACATCGGGTACATCTATAAATGCAACCTTACTCAGCCATAAAAAGGAACGAAACTGCACCATTTGCAGAGACGCGGGTGGACCTAGAGACTGTCCTACAGAGTGAAAGAAGTCAGACAGAGAAAAACAAATACCGTATATTAACACATAGATGTGGAATCTCGGAAAATGATACAGATGAACTTATTTGCAAAGCAGAAATAGAGACACAGATGTATTACATTAGCGAATAGAAAAGAAAAAGAAATTGGCGTGCAGCCAAAAACGAGTTTCCACCGAGAGTCACGTTATCAGGTAATTAAACATCATTTGTATGTAGAGGTAGTTGCAGCTTAGTCAGAGCTATTTTCTGTCTTCTGTTTATTTTGAAGGCGGATGCCCCAGGGGGCAGAAAGAGGACATTTCAGGACTGTTCCAGAGGGATGTTCAAGGCAACTGCTTTCCTGCTTTGAGACACAGCCAGCAAATGCCCCGTCTGAATTGACCAAAGGCCAGGCGGGGTTCAACCTACTTGTGAATGAAAGACTCCCTGTTTCCAGCAAGAGTTGTCAGAGATCCCTCTGCAAGTGTTACAGCTTGTAAATGAGAACAGAAGGGCTTCTGTAGAAACCCGAAAAGCGCAGACAACAGACGCCAGGGACTTCCCGGCCCCTTCTCTGGACAACCTAACTTGGTTTCCGTACGATCCTTGTTGCTCTGAAGAGTGAATCAGCCGGCACATGCGTGCACCCGAGAGAGGTCCTTGACTCAGAGCTGAGATCGCGTCTCCTGGCAAGAGGACCCAGAGGGCTGGTCCCCCCGGAGAAGCAGCCGTTCGCTTACCTACAGCTGGCCTGGCCCAGAGACAGCCCTTCAGGTAACCAGCTTTTCTTGAGATGCTAGCGAGGCCGCTCCAGCCCAGCCAGCGACCCTTGGCAGCCTCCCTAAGTACGCGTGGCTGCAGGGCACACTGCAGCATCTGGCCGTATTTTAGAGGCAACTTTCTTAAAAATGGAAAGCAAAGATATGCATGTCAGATTTTTGCCTTGGGTGATTTCTACAAGGAATGCAGAATTTAGTTCAGAAAGAGCGAATGTAACTCCGCGAGATGCGAAGAGATTTTGGAGCATGTGGATTGGACGTTGAAGAGATGCTAAGATTAGAAACTGAACCGGGTTTGGGAACAGGGCTCAAGTGTAGTGGAGAAATGAGACTTGCTGCCTGGGGTCTGGAGGACAGCGGGGAACCAGGGGTTGTAATTCTTTCTCCCCTGGAAGAGCATCAAAGGCTACATTATGGGTAATACTTCATTGCAGGGCTTTCTTTCTTTTTCTGTATCTTTTTTGCTTTTAAATGGTCAAAGTATTTGACTTTTTTTTTTTTTTCGGTAAGTATTCTTTTTTTTTTTTCTCAAATCTTTATCGGCGTATAATTGCTTTACATTGTTGTGTTAGTTTCTGCTGTATAACAAAGTGCATCAGCTACACATATGCATATATCCCCATATCCCCTCCCTCTTGCATCTCCCTCCCACCTTCCCTACCCCACCCTCTAGGTCGTCACAAAGCATGCGGTTGATCTCCTTGTGCTTATTGAGATATAATTAGCAGATAACATTGTGAGAGTTTGCTGTATACAAAGGGTCAGTTTGATAACATTTCTGTGTTGCAATGTGATTGCGACAATAGCGTTAGCCAACACTGCTATCGCCTCCCGTAGTTGCCATTGCTTTTTTGTGTTGAAAACAATTGAGATCTAGTCTCTTAGCAACTTTGACACTTAACATTTCAGCAGTGTTGAGTGAAATCACTGTGGGTGGGTTAGCTCTCCAGAAAGTATTCACCTACGTGTTGCAAGTTTGCGTCCTTCAACATCCCCGCATTTCTCCCCCCCCCACCCCCACCCCCCCACCCCGCCCACCACCCTACCCTCTGCTCTTTCTTTGTCTCTTTCTTATGGAAAGTTTTCTCTGGTAGCCAACATGGAGAAAAGCATGCAGTGTTCTAAGGGATAAGATGCTGTGTTCATTGGAACAGAAGAATACGCTCCTTCTGTGTAGCTAAATATAGAGAGCCCATCACTGAAGAGGTAAACCAAAGATTTGATAAAACTAAACCTCGTATGACATTTCCACCATATGCTCAAGCGGCGTATGTACACTCAACTCTAACCCACCAGTAGAACAAGTATAACCAGTCACATTCCCTAGAAAAGTCAGAAGAAGCCCATAATATGCTTTTTCTGGGGGGGGAAAAAAAAAGATTAAAATAGATGTAAAGAAAACAGTCATATCTACTTTATACTATATTATATTTTTTTATATATCATTATTGTGTATTATATATTTTGTATATACATGTATCTATACATACATATACATAAATGTATTTATTTCATATATAAATACATATAAATTAAAATGTTCATATAGACCTCCTGAGAGGTAAAGATTTGTAGCCAAAACTTGCAAAATGGAACAAACGAAAGGGTACGGCGAATGCCAATGGTATGAAGCGGAAGCATTTCCAGCCTCCCCCCTCTGCTCAACTTGAGATGCGCCATCCAAACTGTCTACATGTTGAAACAGGTCTAGTGGGCAAAGTCCCTGGTGTTCTGTCCTTCCGTCAGAGAGTGGAGTAGTTTCATCCACAGCATACATATTGTACGAGTCCAACGCCATGACGTTCTGGAAAAGGTAAAATTACGGAGGCAGTAAAAGGATCAGCGGTTGCCAGGGGTTAAGGTGGGAAGAGGGATGAAGAGGCAAAGCACAGAAGGTATTTAGGGCAGTGAAACTACTCTTTATGATACTCTAATGGGCGGGGGGCGGGGCGGTACATGGCATTGTACCTTGTCCACCCATGGGATGTATAACAGCAAGAAAGAACCCTAAAGCTAACTGTGTGCTTTGGATGGTACAGAAAGCAAACAGACACAATCACCATGCAACAGGTCAGCCACCTGTACACCAGCTACCAGAAGCAAAAAAGAGGCACCAAGCCAGGCAGCTCACACCTCACTAAGATCCTCCTTCAAAAGGAATAAGGTAAATAAACAGCCTGGGCCTTTGCACAGTCACGGTACGTCTCACCAGGAGTGATGGGAACCCTCAGCCTTGATCCCAACTGAAAGCTTCCCCGCTACAGAGGCAGTGACCACAGAGAGCCATCCAAAGAAACCTGTCTGCGGGGTTTCTCGCTGCCCAAGCCCTGTCCCAGTTGCATGCAATGGTCATCCGGCTGACCACAGGTGCACTGCCCTGTCCTTGTGCTGAGGAGGGCGCAGCTTGGGGAGGTGTGAGAAAGCACCTGAATTGCAAGGGAGCTTGGAAGGAGCCACCTCTGTCTTGCAGGCAAGGGCTAATGTCCAGAGAACATGAAGCACCAGGAAACGTCAGGCTAGCTCAGAAGGAGAAGGGGAGAAGCACACTGGAGCATTTCTCCTTGGAGAAGGCCCTGCATATAGTGATCCACACCTCTGCACACACAGCCAGCCAGCAGCTAGTCTGCACCTTCCCAGGGGACAGCTTAGATGGAGAGGGTGTAACTCTGAAAGGCTGGATGTCCCCAGCTCGGAAGCTCGCCCACGACGCGAGCCAACTTCTCTTCAAACAACTCATGAGCAGAGCTTCTGGGCCACTGCAAAAGCCATGCCAGGTCAAGGGCCACTGACCCCCAGAAGCCCCAAGTTGGCTTCCCTCATGTCTTCATGGTTCCTCATGGGCACAAACAGGCTGCCAGGGACCAGCATTTTTACTACACATAATGTTGCCCAGTCACCCATTGACATTCTACCTTTATTGGGTTTCCAGGGAAACAGAGCTAGAAAATTAGCGCAAGGTCTGATTCTCATGCATCAAGGGACAGGATTGCCAGTTATCTGCAGAAAGCCGCTGTTGTCACCAGATGGCTTTGTAGACAAGTAAATATATGTGTTCTTCCCCTTTCCTATGATTGTTTTCTAGGGACAGCAGCATACTCTCTTGACTCTTTTTTTTTTTTTTTTCATTTAAAATATATTGGATAGGGCTTCCCTGGTGGCGCAGTGGTTGAGAGTCCGCCTGCCGATGCAGGGGACACGGGTTCGTGCCCCGGTCCGGGAAGATCCCACATGCCGCAGAGCGGCTGGGCCCGTGAGCCATGGCCGCTGAGCCTGCGCCTCCGGAGCCTGTGCTCCGCAACGGGAGAGGCCACAACAGTGAGAGGCCCGCGTACCACA